TATTACAGAAAAGAGTGCAGCAATAATCATAACCTAGTCAATTTAGATGAGTCTGTTGCAGCCTTTCCTTATCTCTAAGATGCAAGCACCTACCTGTTCTTTCAAATCTTTGCATATTTGTGCTGGAAATGTTATTGAAAACTTACATAATTTCAGAGATGTTGTAACAATAGGTTAGAAGTGAAAAAGCCTTGAATGTTGCAGCAAGAATTGCCCAAAATATTGAGGTAGTACTGTAGTAAAAACCCTAGTGTGACTGTGAAGAAAAAGCAGGGCAAAGAGGCTTTTATTTTTCAGTACTGGGTATTGAACTCAGGGCTTCATGTAGGCAGGCACACAGGTCAAGAAGTGGTAAAAGGCTTTTTACCATTATCAGGAACAAAATAATGGGATATGAGTACATTTGTTTTAAAAACAACTGCAGAAATCAAGGATCAATTTGTAGCAATAAATTTGACAATTTAGATGAAACAGACAAATTCTTTCAAAAACAGTACTCACTAAAAACTAACACAAGACAAAAGTAATTTAAGTGACTGTATATCAATGAGAGAAATTGAATTCTTAATTTAAAATATTCCAAAAAGAAAACTCCAGGCCCAGATGGCTTCACTGCTGAGTGCTGCCAAACATTTGAGAAAGAAATAAAACTAATCCTACATGTACTCTTTCAGAAAATAAAAGAAAAATCACTTCAAAACTCCTTTTGTGAAGCCATCAAGAGCAGAGAAGAAAAACACAAGTTAAAAATTTACACATCCAAGTTTCCATGAATGTCCTTGAGGTAAATCCATAGCAAAACTGTAACAGTTTGATTCCAGTGATATATTCAGAATGTAATACATCAAGACCAAGACCAACCAAGGAAGTTTATCACATAAATAAAAGATTGTTTTCAGATACAATGCCAGTTACTGTAATATTCTATTCTAACATAATAAGAACTTATATAGTTATATTAATAAAGGCAGAAAATTATGGGTCAAAATTCTACACTTATTTATTTGCCTTTACTGAATTAGTAATAAAAAAGTAACATCTCTAAACAGATAAAGGACACCTAAGAAAAAAAATCAATAACTAAAATTATACTTACTATCTGAAATATAGAATATTTTCTCAGTAAAGTTAGCATATAGATAAAGATGTCTGCTCTCAGCATTTCTGTTCAAGATTTTGTCTTAGGCAATAAAACAAGTGAAAAAGAAATCAACGGTACATAATTGAAAAAATATAAGTTAGATTATCTTCCCTCTTGTAAGTAGCTATTCCAGATTATTTTATCAAAAACAAAACAATTGATTTGTCATCATTGTAAGACAGAAAAACTTCTTAAAAATCATTTTTAATTCTATAGAGTAACATAAAACAGTTGTAATCTGAAATTAAAAGTATAATCATAGAACAAAAATGTAAACTAATTAACAAAAAAATTTAAACTAATTTAACAAAATTTATCCAGACAGGTATACTGAAATCTTTGAAATATTGTTGAGAAATGTTGAAGAAAATATATATAAATGAAAAGATATACCAAGTTCATAGATTTCAAAACTCATATTTTTAGGTGTTTGTGCTCCAAATGAATCCATAGAATGGAAGCAATACCATTTAAAATGCACACGGGCTTGTGTTTTGTCTGTTGCTTTGTTTCTGTTTTAGGTAGAAATTGACAAGCTGATTTCAACATTTATGTGGAAAGGCAGGACCCAAGATAAGTAAGACAATCAATAAAAGGAAGAATACATAAAATAAAATATTTGGGATTAAGAACCAGTGCATTAGAAATTTGTGATGTTGATTTTTAAAAAGTTTTGCTTTTAGTTTGTAGTGCTTCAAAATAGTTTTATACTGTAATTTATATGTGAAAATAATTAAAGCTAAACAAAAATGAATGAGAAAATTGTAAATATAAGCTCAAATTTAAATAATATTTTCCCCAATGTTATTTACGTATTTATGTTTTTACACAAATACAAAAAGGTAAAATTACTTTCACATTTATAATTGGCATACTTTTTAGAGTTTTTATTTATTTGTAACCTGTAGAAACTGATGTTTGCTAAGAGGCAAAAGAAAAAAAATGCTGGCAGAGTTTCAGGGGCTCAAAGAACCAATAGAGTGCTTGGCAATGATATAGAAAAGGGCAAGAATGAAAGTAGTTCATTCAGCCTGGGCATAATGCCTTCGATGGAACTGAATGAATCACCAACTTTTTGATCATTTTGTGTGTCTCTTTAAGACTCAAGCTCCAATGTAGCTAATCTAATGAACAAATGTGGTGAATTATTTTCAATGATAGAGATGATATTTTTCTCATTACTGTACACATACCCTTTACAATATGACCTTGTTGCTCCTTCCATTAAGAAGTAGAATTTATCTCTATTCTTGAATCAGTCTGGAGTTAGCTGTGAGAATTGCTTTGATCAGGGAGACATTATCAAGATGACACCATCTATAATAGCTTTTTTGCATTGGGCTTACCATCTTTTGGCTACAGCTGGAAGGAAATAAGAGCTTACAATATGAACAAGTTGCAACTAGCATTTTGGAAAGGTTGCATGTAGAAGAACCAAAGTGTAGTGGCTGATAGCTGGTTTCTAGCCAGAATGAGCTAGACCATCTCAGATGACTCCAATGGAATTGGCAGATGACTACAGTGTGAGAGTGTTGCAAGTCATGACCACCAGAATATCTGGTCATCTAAGCCTCACTTGTATTGTTGAACCAAAGACTCATAAGGAAATAAAACTCATTTTTCTAAACCACTAGGTTTTGTGGACTTAGTGGGCAATAATAAATAGCTGAATCAAAAAAAGTAGTGTTTAAGAAAACCTGGAATGGGTTGGGACATAGATCAATGTAGAACCCTTGTCTAAGAAGAGTGAGGCCCTGGGCTCAATCCCCAGTGCTACTATATATACATTTTTAGCCTGATTTTAATTCCAGCTACTCTGGAGGTGGATGCAGGAGGATCAGGAGTTTGAGAGCAGCTCAAAGTTAAGCAAGATCCTATCTGAAAACAAAATAAAAAGAATAGGGGTGCAGACATGACTTAAGTGGTAGAACACATGCTTGCAAAACCCTGGGTTCGATTTCCTCAGTAGCTCAAACAAAACAGCCAGGCCCTGGTGGATAATACCTGTAATCCTAGGTATTTAAGAAGCAGAGATCAGGAAGATTGTGGTTCAAAGCCACTCATGGAGTAAATAGTTCGGTATTTAATGTTCTCCTTCACAGTACAACCATAAGTGCGATGATAATCACAGTAAAGAGAATATGTATTGCATTATCTCAGTGTGATGGTATGTCTCTCAAGGACTTTCTTATTAGGTAACGATGCTGTTGTTCTCAATTTGTACATGAAGAAACTGAGGTGCGGTTAAATAACTTGGCCAAGGTCATAAAACCTAAGTGATGGAGCTGAGATGTGAGATTAGTCTGTCTCTAAAACCTAGTAAATGTTTGGCACCAGTGTGTCTTTAAATATCAAGACATTAATTCCTGTAAGATCCCACTATAATGAAATAAGATAGATCATAGGCAAACATGAGGAAGTTGAAGTCATTATTTCTCTTTTAGATTATGAGTTTCATACTAAAAAAATTACCTATTATTTACCTGCATGAAGTAATCAGGGCATTTTCACACTTCTATTTCTTTCTATCTTTCCCATTTTCATTCCTGATTTTGTTACTTATGGTGTTTTTAAATTTCAATTTGTATTTCCCCCTCAAATAATGCTTATTAGTTATGATCCTTATTTTCTTGTTGAAATTAATGTTTACCTCTATCTTTAACATAGCAATCTTATTACTAAAGTCTTCATTTTTGATCTTTTATGATTGAAACCCTTTCTCCAAGCCCCATCTCTGCCCCATAGGATTTACCAGTTCTTCTACAGATAAGAATATTTTCTTGTGGCATTTGTAATTGTAATACAGGCTGGTTGGGTATAAAAGTTAGAGATTATTATTTTTCTCCTAGTTCTTAGTTGTTATTGAATATTCTGAGAAGTTCCTAAACTTTCTTATTGTCATGATATTTCATCATTTAAGTAGACCATGTAGTATAGTATATGTACTCTTCTCTTTGTTAGCTATAAGCTTTATAAAAGCAAGCACTCCATATTCTATTAATGATTATACTCATAAAATACCTTCACAATTTTTACCAAGCAAGTGAATGGATGAGGATTAGGAATGCATGAACAGAACCTTTAATGTAATGTATGAGACAGACTTCAGAGTTGGAGTGCACTTCTGTATGTAATTGTATCAGGAACAAAAGAAGTGATGCATGAGAAAGATCCATTTTAGTAAGTGAGGAAAACACACTTAATAAGGAACAGAATATACCTTATGCATTGGGGTATATCTCAATCAAAGTAGATTTGTGCAAGGAGGAAGTTAGCTACAACAAAATGTTTGTGAAAGTTATATGTGCTTTATAATTCTTAAATTTTGGCCATGGAAGTCACTTTTTAAACTCTGTAGAGGCTGGACATGGCAGCTCATGCCTATAATTCCAGCCACTTGGGAGGTGGAGGTTAGGAGGATCGAGTTTTGAGACCAGCCCCAGCACCAAGTTAGGGAGACTCCATCTCAACAAAAAAGCTAGGCATCATGATACATACTTGTCATCCCAGCATTAGCAGGGGGATTGCTGTTCAGTCCAGCCTGGGAAAATTAAGTATGGAGCCCTACCTGAAAAATAAGTAAAGAAAAAGTGTTAGGGTGAGGCTCAAGTGGTGGAGCATCTGCTTAACAGGCATGAGGTCCTGAGTACAAACTCCAGTACCACAAAAAAACAAAACAAAGCAAACAAAATAACAACAAAAAAATGAATCAAAACCCAAAAATAATCTCTGTAGAAAAATGGGCAAAAATGGTTTGTCATAAAATGGGCAAGAAAAGATGATTTGGTATTTTTAATACTTTCCATTATTAAATATCACATTTCAACTTTTGATTTTACAGATATCCAGATTGTTCACAACAGATCCAGGATCCTTAAGACTTTATTACCTTGAATCAAGGATTTATTTGATATTCTCTTCAGTCTTTACTTCATACCAAGTACATTTTTTAAAATAAGAATATTTGCCATAAGGGTGTCTTTAAAAGTAGTATTTCTCAGACTCTCCAATGCCTAAGAACAGCAAGGTGGTGAAAAGAGAATTGGATGATGAGGTTATTGAGTCTGTCAAAGATCTTCTTTCCAATGAAGACTCACCTGAGGATGCTTTTAAGAAGAGCGAATTAATTGTTGATGTCCGAGAAGAGAAAGATACCGATGTTGAGGAAGAATCTGAAGTTGAAGATGAGAGACCAGCTTGGAACAGTAAGCTACAATACATCCTGGCCCAAGTTGGATTTTCTGTAGGTTTAGGGAATGTGTGGCGATTCCCATACCTGTGTCAGAAGAATGGGGGAGGTAAGTTGCTTGTTTGTTTGTTGTTTTAAGTGATGAATTGCTACAGTAGTATGTTGCTATTAGGTATCTCAAATAGCTCCTACTGTTGCTGCAGTCTCATTATTTTTGAAACTATGCATTCCCTTACAAACCAGGGGAGACTCATTTGTGGGAAGTGAGCCCAGCTCTGTTTTCAGATTAGGTTTCCATAGAAGCAGATTGGCGTGCTACAAATACTCAGTGATTGCTTAAGGGTAATAACGCATTCTTAGATTCTTTCCTTGGATGCTATAAACATCTTTGAATCTCTGACTGAAACTTTTCTCACAAATGCTACATACTTTGTGCCTGTCAATTTTTCCCCCTTGGAAAAGAGCCTTAAGCTTCTAAGACAATGCTGATGAAGAAAGACAGAATTTTCTCCCTCTGACTTACTAAGTTGCCTCACTCTTCCAAGAAAGTCAAACTGACGTGCAATTTAGAATGATTACAGTTTTGAATGCTGACCAGAAGTTTTAGAACCCATTAGAAAGAAAGTAGCCCAACAATGTAACACCCGTCTTTTGTAGTCCATGGAGACTTTATACCTTTGGTTTTCAGTTCTTCAATATTTTGGAAAAATGACCAGCTGAATAGAAACTTTGAAAAAATGAGCATTCTCAATTTTAAGCTGAAATAGCTGTGCCATCATTGATACCTAGGCTGTTTGTACTTGTGCTTATAAGTTACGAAGGCTCTTATCAAAAATCATCTTAAAAATCTAGGGTAAAATCTATGCAGAGGAAGAAATTGTTTCTATATAATAGTAATTGCATAGTACATCAAAATTAAACTGAAGCGGCTGGATATGCAAAGTGATAAAGTTCTTGCCCAACATAAGTTATGTCTTAGGTTTAGTGTGTAGCACCAGAAAACAAAATTAAAAATGTTAAATTAACATTTGAAATGAAACTACCTATTTTCCTTGAAATTATCTATATGCTGAAGTTTTTTAAAATAGGTGTGACTAAAACTACTTATTCATAGGTTATGCACTTTCTCATACAAAGATTAGAAGGAATATTTATTTGATATTTAATTGGTTTGTAGTAGTTTGTGTACTAAATAAAAATATGGTTTTATTTTTATTAATTGCAGTCCACATACCCTGTATCAAACAATATAGCCATTTATATGCAAATTCTTAGCCACCAAGCAATAAAAATCTAAGGTATTATGGTGTTAAAATGTGTTTAAGATATTTTTATGTAATTTAACCAGGCACAAAATAAGAGGTTTGGGAAAAGTAGCCTATTTGAAGAATCTGTCTGAGAGTTAAGAATTAATGAAGCTTTGTTAAACAAAACTGTAAACTCCTTAGCTAGTCAGTAACATCACCTATGAAATATTGATCAAGTCAATTATAAGCAACTAGGCATTACTCTGCATTTTTGTGCCTCAAAAATCATCTCATCTGTCTTGACCAGCAAATGGTGAATATTGCTTTTGAGACTCCTTAAAACTTATAAACCTTACTGGCCATATTGCTAAGGAAGGAGGCTGTCTTGGCTGGAAAGTCAGGTTTCATTCCACTTACTACAGTTTCTACCTGGTAGAGAGGTCTAAAAGACTCCATTTTTAGTAAGTGTTGTTATAAAATATAGCTCCTTTGTCTTCTCTCTATACATGTAAAAAAAGTCAAAATATCCTTGCTCTGTCTGTCTCCATTCACATGCATATTAACCCACTCACAATCTAAGACTTCATTCAGGTATTACAATCCACTTTGCCATTTAGGGAACACTTTCTGGTCAGCAACCTCTGAATGTTACTAGCCATTTTAGAGTTGGAATTTCAATAATTAGGTTGTGTAAATTTGTGCATGCATCAATGCATTCAGTTACATTTCCTTTTGCAGAATCAACCAGTATCTGAAAGACTGAAAACAACTCATAGAAAAGTAGAGATTATATGTTAATTACTATATTAGGGAAATTCTTATATATAGTCAATATTATAGAGATATATAAATACTGGGATAAATAATTAAAGGGAAATCTATTACTACTTAGTTTTTCAATCAAACAACCCCGAGAATGTATTTAATACTATTGAACATTATTTTTAATAGGAAAAATGTAATGAAAAGGCTCATGAAAATGAAAATTATTACCACTGCTTACATGACTGTTACAATGAGCATCTAGTTGGACAAAACTTCAGATGAGAAGTTTGAATGTAAGAAGTCCAGTTAGAGGTTATTGAATACTATTTGTAAAGTGTTCTCATGTAGAAATGAGTACAGGTTTCACAATTAACTTCTTTATCTAGTCAATTGAATCTAATATTAACATTGCCCAACTAGTTTTTATATCTTTTAATCACTGGTCATATGTCTGTGATTTTGCTGAAAAATAATAGTTAAGCATGGAAGCTTTACATACATACTTTTATAATAGATATTAAATGTCATAGTTTTTCAATCACTCTTACCACCCCTTTTCATAATTTTAGAAAGCAAAAGATATTTGGTTCTGGAAATGCACTTTTTATATGTAGCATACATGAGAAAAATGACATCTGTCTTTCATATAAGTTATTTTGCTTTTTTTGTCTTTCAGACCAGGCATTTATTCTTATGTGGTATTATTTTATTTAGAATACAAAAAAATTTATTTCTATCAACTCTCATTTATTTCAATACGTCAGTTTTAGAATGCATGACAAATGAGTTTATGTCATATTTAGAATAAGACTTCATAAACATTGTGTAAAGATTTCTTGAACTTTATGAAATCTCTCCATATGACAATTAATTTTAAAGAATAAATTTTATTTTTAAATAAATTAGAACTGAAGCTATCTATTAATATCATTTCATCATGATTTTTTATCAGAAACTCCTTATTGCAGACAGATTCATGTTTCAAAATCTCAGAAGCTTAAAGAAATGTAATTACATTTTCTTCAAAGCCTTCTATAATTACTTCATATAGAAACTTAATATTATCGGCCATGAGAAATGAGAATTAGTGTGTATGTTACTGTGACTGTTGAACATGTAATGTATTTTATTTTTTCTTGTCTTTGTAGGTGCGTATCTTTTACCATATTTAATACTACTTCTGGTAATAGGCATTCCCCTTTTTTTCCTGGAACTTTCTGTGGGGCAAAGAATTCGGCGAGGCAGCATTGGTGTGTGGAATTACATAAGCCCTAAACTCGGTGGGATTGGATTTGCAAGTTGTGTGGTAAGTTTCTTCCTGTGATGCATGCAATAATCTTTATTGGGTTTTAAATGATATAATTTCTATCTAAATGAAACCTCTGAGCTGTGTTTCTGCACAGCTCTTTAATCATGTCTCAAAGATACTACGAATATATAAAACTAGCTCTATATTGATATTGCTCAATCTTGTTAATACATATTCTAAGGGCTGTTGAGAGTCATTAATATTGAAGAAAAGATAATGTCTTTCAAGTGAAAAATATAATACATATTTCTGAAATGTTGACTGGAGTGCATTTCATTTCACTGTTTTAGAGGAAGAAGCAAGAGAGGTTTTAATATAATCACATTTTATTTTGCAGGTGTGCTATTTTGTGGCTCTCTACTACAACGTCATCATTGGCTGGACTTTGTTTTACTTTTCTCAGTCTTTTCAGCAGCCTCTTCCTTGGGATCAATGTCCTTTGGTGAAAAATGCTTCTCATGCTTGTAAGACACATACAATGTATTGTTATTTGTCCTTGTATTTAAAGATCATAGTTTTGCTAATGGCACAAAACTTAAAACCTTTTTACGTTATCTAACAATGTGGAAAAATCTTTCAAAATCAACATCATGACAAACTTTCTTCTCTTTTAGGATTGGCTCATTCTGAGCGATAGACTTTTGGCATCACCTAGTTTTACTGGCTCTTTTTGAGTTACTTTACTATTCCTTAACCTGGGTAAAATTTTGTAAACCTTCAGTTGAAAACTTTAACAATCATTTATTTTGTCCAACATGATTTGATAGCTTATATTTTTATTAAAACCTATAAAAGTAGAATTTGAATTGAAAGCATTGCTTTTATGCTTTGGATCTATTGTTTTGTAGTTTCCTCATTTTTAAATCCTACAAAATAAAGAAAAAAATTATGTCTCATATATGTAGTTTAAAATTTTCTAGTAGCCACATTTAAGGAAAACAAAAAAGAGCAGATGAAATATTTAATTCAATATATTCAAAATATTGTTTTAACATAATTGGTACAAATATTATTAATGTAATGTTACATTTTTTCATGTAGTAAATCTGAAATCCAGTTTGAATTTTACATTTATAGTGTGTGTCACTTTCAAATACTCTCATTTCAAAGTGCCTGTGGCTAGCAGCTAGATTATTTGATAGAGCTACCCCAGGGCATCAATCAGGTAATTATGAGGGATGGGTGAGGTGACAAACCTGATTTGTTTTAAATATTTTGACAAGAATCTCACATACTCTTATTTCAGGAATCCATAATAAGGGATATTAAAGAAGATACATGTCTACTGACTTTTCGAGGTTTTGCACAGTTGAATGCTCTTATTCTTCATTGTGATTTAAATGCTCTATTTCAATGATAGTGTTTCTCTAGGAAACATTAAGAGCTGACATATAGGGTTCCTGGAAAAAAATACTGTTTCATTACTCTTTATAGTCTGAACTGATTGTGTATTACCTTTCTTTCCACAGTTATAGAACCAGAATGTGAAAAGAGTTCGGCCACAACCTATTACTGGTACAGAGAAGCACTGAACATTTCCAGTTCGATATCTGAAAGTGGGGGCCTAAACTGGAAGATGACTGTCTGCTTGCTAGCTGCCTGGGTCATGGTTTGCTTAGCTATGATCAAAGGCATTCAATCTTCTGGAAAAGTTAGTATGGTATAACCCTCCTGATTCTGCTCAGCACCACCTTGTGTACCACAATTCCCTCAAATCTCTTTTTGCCAGTTAAAGACTGTTAAAAAGTGGTGCCTTAAAAAATGTGTTTAAATTAAGGAAAGGGCATAAAGATTTTATAATGAAATCTAATGTCATTTATAATCTTTCTGTGTTTCAACAAAATCTTTCAAAAACTTTGGTCAATATTTAAAAGTACTTTCTTTTTGCTATTTACTCAGTTGATTCTCAGTCGATGTGGTTCTCTGGTTACCAACTACTTCCAGTCATAGAAATTGGTTCAAGTGACAGAAGGAAGAGTTTATTCATTTTGTTTATTTTATAACATTCATTTTCCTCTGCTGTAGGTGTTCTAAGAAATAGATGCATGTAGAAATTTAAAATAATGTAGTATTGAGTGTTGATTAGAGTTCTTAATGTCATTAGGTAGTTACAGTAATTCCAACAAGAGTAAAATAAAAGTATAAAGACATGCCCAAGTCTTTATTGAAATTTGAAAACTTTTAAAGGCCACAGTTGAAAACATCATTAAGTAAATTCAGAATACCTTTTTGGTTGTTTTTTAAATGATGCTACTTTTTAGGCCCATTTTACTGATTCAAAAAAGAGGTTTGAGTAACTATATAACTATATAGTTAACTATAACTATATAACTTGCCCCAAGTTTCATGCAAATAAGTCCTACAAAATAAAATGCACCTATTCAGATCTGCCTAAATTTACAGTCCATGTGCCTGCTTTATGGAGATAGGGTCCAATTACAGACACCTGCCACCATCCCCGGATGCTGATGTTCTTTAAATGCCATACTGTCTCTCATTTGACATTTATTTCCACCAAATAGGGGATCTTTGGAGGGAGCAGAAGTCTGATTCATCTGTGCTTCCCATTACTTTATATTTAACTAAAATATTGATTATTTCTTAACGTGTAAATCACAGTTGAGTTCACATTTACCTTCCTGTTGTAGCTTCTATATTATTTTGCCTGTGAGGACATGAATATAATAGATAATACATCTGGATAATGTTAAATCCTTTGCAAATATTATTATATTTAACAGCTAAATAAATTATAGCAATTGGTTTAATTGCTCTACTATGTCAGAGCCACTTATAGTCAGATTATAAATAAAGAAATAGATTCTTAAGCCAGGTCTAACCACATTTATTCAATTCCTAAGATAATTTTGTATGAAAGAGAACCAAGTACTACAAATTGGTTCTCTGTTTTTCTTAGTCTGTGTCTTACCATCACTTAAAGAACTGTTTCACTCTTTTAATGAAATTACTTATTCACTTTTACTATCATATATTGACAAATTACAATTGCATATATTTATTGGGCACATAGTTGGTATTATGGCTTTTTAGGGCAGTGTGTAATAATTAAATCAAGCAAATTAGCATAGCTATCACCTCAAATGTTTAACTTACTTATGAAGAGCATATTTGAAACTTACTCTTGGTGATACTGGTGCTGTTTTTCTAATATCATGTAATAAAACTTTACCCAGTAGAACATAATACAACTTAAATAGAATACATACTTTATTATTTCAGTGAGAGGGCTTGAGGGAGAGAGTGACGATTGGGAAGAGTTTGAAGGAATTTGCTTTGTTGTGTTTTGGTTTTGATGTAGAGAATCAAATCCAGAGGCTCTACCACTGAGTCATACCCTTAGCTCAAGAAAGAATTGAATAGTACAGATGGGGAAAGAGCTAGCTGTAAGTAACATGACCAAAGATATGAATGTCTAAATTCTTACAATTCCTCAGTCTGGAACAGTCAGCTAAATATAATAGCAGAGATTCTTGAGGAATAAATGTAAGCTCTGTGTCTGTTTACCAAACAAAACAGCATCTAAAGAAGTCGTCACACTAGTATAGGATGGGAAAATGTGGTGTAAAGCTAGTATGTATGAAAATAGCTTGCTAAAAGAAGAATATGCGAACTTGTGATGTGCTTTGTCAAAATACATGCAATCTCTGTCTCTTTCTCTCTCACATACACACATACACACACACATGTGTGCCACCTGGAAATTGAATGAATTAAAAAGGGGTATGATAGTGTCATTGTCTTTTGGTGTAGACACACCTCAGTTGGACTGCAACTGAAATACTGGATTTTACTGTGATTTTTTATGATAGAGACGCAAACTCTTAACCCTGGCACCTTTATGTTCAAATAGTTGAATCAAAAGAAAAAGGGTATTCTCTATGTAGTCACAGAGAACAGAACTATGACTCAATACTGCAGATTATGGAGGCAGGTAGAGGGGCTATAAGTCTCAAAGAAAGAAATCAAATATGGTAACAGTTTAATCAACTGCCACAGTGATGGGAGCTCTGAGTCTTTGGTGATGGTCAGAGACTGCCTGCCCCCTTGTTATGGCATCTATTAGGGCATGGATGCCCTAAAGATGAAAAGTAGAAATGAGATGTTCTAAGCTTTCTTCTAACTATCAATTGTTATTTTCTAACAGTACTGCTTTTCTATTATTACCATTACTGTGCTAAATACTTTGCATACATTAGCTTGTTTAATTTTTTTCATCAGCCAGCCAGATGATTTGCATGTGTTCATCTCATTTTATAGCAGTGTTGATAGGTTTAGGAGGAATTAATAAATGGCCAGAATTAAACAGCCAATGAAAAACAGCTAAAAAATGGTTCTTTCAGAAGATGTTTTTATAATAAACATTCTAATACAAAGGTAAATAAATGAATAAATGTTGCTGTATGCTTTCTATTTTTCAATAGTTCTATAAAATGAAAATAGTTTATACAACATTTTGATTGATATAATTACTGCCAAGGGTCTTAAAATTAGCTGAAAGAAACAGATTTCATTGTTTCACTTCCCTGTCCGCAAAATGAGTATTTCGTGGTCAATGCAAGGCTCATTCATTAATTTAGCTTATTAAATTAATTCATTACTTTAACAAACACTTATTGAATACTTTCTATGTGGCAGACACTGATTTTGTTTTGTAAACACAGCATTGAAAAAAGGCAGACAACCTGCCTGGACTCATGAAGTTCCCATTCTAGTGGCAGAAGCAGTCAAACAACAAAATCATAAAAAAAAAATCAAGTAGTAATGTACATAATAAAAATGTATGCAATATGCACAATTTTAGGTAAGCATGTATGTAATTAAATAATGTCAAACAAACAATTGTTTATTTATTTGTATATATAGCCACTTACATTGAATTTAACCTATTTTTAGTAACATTAACAACTTTCTCTTTGAAGATCTGTAAGATTAGGGCCATTTGATTAAATACTAAGAATTTGTGTTTGAAGTCTCTGTAAAGTGCTGATTCAAGTTACATCCTTTTAAATCTTGGAACGTAGTATTGAATATTTTGTCCCTTTACTACTCAGAGAATAATAAAGTTGTGGATGTGACCTATTTACCTGACACTATTTAAGTGTTTGAAATCTTAAATGTGATTTTTCTCCACATTATATGATTTAAATATTTCTAATCTTTTTAGGAACCTATGTTAGAATCCCATCACTGAATCCAGATCAAGGTCTTTAAGAAACCAAATGTATGTTGAATTGATAAAAAATTGAAATAATCTAATCGTAATATAATTAACTATATAATTATGAGGTCAATTAGTAATATATTAATATATTTAATATATAACTTAAAAATACTGCAGAATACAGATAAGTTTTAGTGAATGTGTATAAAAAGGAAAACTTAATTTCCTGTAAGTTCTGTTTACTGAATACTGTTTTTGAATGTGTATTATATGCTACACATTGATGGCTTGGCAAAGATTAATAAAACATAGCGATTGTCCTCTTGAAACCCGCAATTCAATGGGTAAGACAGACAATTGCAACATTAAGTGCAGTAACAGAGGCACAGAGAAAGTGCCAGATAGGATAGAGGCGTTCACTGAAATTAACCTGGGATTTGGGAAGGTTTCTCCCATAGAAGAGGTAACTTGTGGTTGAGGATTTGATAGTTGAAGAGAAAGTTCAGGGAGAAAACAGCATATGTAAAGCCCAAAGATTTCTGAATACTCCTGTACTACTTTCACATAAAATTTGTAGTTTGTGTGATATAAAGCAAAAAAATAGCAGCTGATTGCAAATATTGAAATATCTATGGCCACTGGTAAAAAAATGGAATGTTACTTAGCAAACATGTGGAATGTTTCAGGATTTTTACTAGATCCATGACAGGTGCCATCAGATCTTTAGAAAAGAACACTGGAAAGTGTGTGCATATTGGACATTGAATTTCTGTAGAAGAGATCTCACAGGGAGTATCTGCGGCAAGATTAGCAGGAAATCTTGTCATGAAAAGTGACACATTGTCAGGATGGAAAACAAGGGGACAGATGTGAGATTTCCGTGGTAGAATCTGGTGATTAGTTGTTATGGGATGTAGGGAAGAGGATATGTTTGGTTTGCTTAACCTGGAAAAATACAAGCAAAGGAAGAATCTTTTCTTCCTTCCATAGTGGCTTATTTGAAATTAAGTTAAAATATAAATATAAAACAAATGATATATATTTTTATTGGAAAAATTATCAACTTATTCATACTGTCATTTTCACTTTTAAAATAAATTGGCTTAGTGGAAGTCATTTAAGTCACTTATAAGGCAGCATTTGAGTTACAGTTTAAAAGAAAGTAAAATATTGTGCAAATGTGAGCTTATGCTCCTGACTTGCCTCAAAATTTGTGAAGATGAATCAGAAAAGTTATAGATTTAATTCAAGGGAGATCAATGCATCAGAAAAATTTAAATAATAAAAGTAAGCACAGAGAATGAAAAACAGTTTATCTGAAAGTATTCTAATAAAACAAATGAAGAAACATAGTGAAGAAGTATAATCAAAGAAACCAGTTTGAGATGACTGGAAAGAATTTTGTTACAATCAATTAAATTATATAATTATTTTTGTTAAAATGTTGATTTTCAATATGTTGAGTTTTTACCTATAATATTTTTTCTTAGGGTAGTCAGTGGATAAAAGTATGGAGGAAGTGAAAATTACTGTATTGCTTTTTATTATATATTGTTTGTAGACATAATTGGATTCAATCCTTTACCTGCCCTGAGACATCTTTCCCTACGGCAGTTTTTCTTTCTCCATTCTTCCCACCCAGGGTCCCTCCATGGCTTCCTTCCACAGGTACATTATTATGCTGCTATTATGAGTTGCAGATGTGTTAGGAGTTTGAGATTTGATAGCGAGCAGGAGAGAAAAGGCCTTTGTCCTCACAGAGCTTATATTTCAGTAAAGGGGAATGAAAATAACTAAACAGACAAGTAAGATCACTTCAAGAGGGCTAAGTACTGTCATAAAACAAAACAAGGTGATATCATTGAGGTAATTTCATTGCTTCTCCTAGGGCAGAGGGTACAGCAGATGGCAGGACAGTATAGAAAAAGGCACAGTCTCCTTTTGGGTCCTCAGGGACAACCTCTGGGAGCAAATGGCGATGAGACTTAAGTGATAATGAGGAGTAGGTCCAGTGCAGATGGGGAGAGGTGTGAGCTTGGTACAGCTGTCAAATGTAATAGCCTGAAGGGCCTGAGCTCAGCAGCCAACAGAGGGTGGGGCAGCCAGGCACTCCAGTTTAAGGCTTTTCAGGGCAGAGGGAGGGATTAACACTTTACTCTGGTGGTATTAGAAACTCCTGGAGAATATTAAACAGGGGATGACATAACTGAGTGGTAGTCTGGAAACCATTTGGAGAATGTTGCAAATAGGCCAGGACTACGTCTAGATATTTCATTTCAGCAACTAAATGGATGATTGGAACCATTTTCTGAAATGAGGATGACTGAGGACAATTTTAAGGGGAATTCCAAAGTTTTCTTCTGGACCTGAAAAGTTTTAGACCTATTAGAGCTCCATAGGGAGATTTCAAACAGGTAGGGAATGTCTGACTAGATATTTTCGTTTTAGTGGCCATTGTTTGCTGGATTGTTTAATTGCAAAAATTTCCAAAGCAGAAGTTAAAACATTGTTATGAAGCAGGCATTCTACTACTTGAGCCACACCTCCAGTCCATTTTGCTCTGGTTATTTTGGAGATGGGAGCTCACAGTGAACTGTTTGACCAGGTTGGCCTCAAAGCATGATCCTCCTAATCTCATTCTCCCAAATAGATAGTATTACAGGTGTGAGCCTGACCATTTACATGTTTAATTTAGATTTGGAGAGGACTTGGCATAAGAACTACTCTCTACCTTGAAAGTTTTACAGAATTATAAAGAAACTTTGATTAGAAAACATATTTAAAAACATAAAAGTAGGAACTCATTAGGGAGTTTGTGCCTATTCATTTTTGTCTGCAATCTTGCTTTTAAAAAATGTAAGTAAACTATTAGGAATTGGCACTATTACAGCTATATGATTACTTAAGGAGTATTACAAAAGAGACTGAAAGGTTTACTTTTTGTGGCATGTATATACAACGCCATGTTATTCAGCCATTAAGGGAATGAAATCCTGCCATTTATAGCAATACTGATGGGATTGGAAGATACTATGTTATGAGAAATCAGCCAGGTGCAGAAAGACAAACACTGCATGCTCTCATTCACCTGTGGAAGCTAAGGAAGTTGATCTCACAGAAGCAGAGGGTAAAATAGTGGTTACTACAGGAGGGAAGAGACTAGAAATTGGTTGGATGACAGGTACCAAAGTACAGTTAGATAGGAAGAGTAAGTTCCAATGTTCCATTCCATACTGTAGTAACTATAGTTTACAACAGTTTATTATATATTTCAAGATAACTAGCAAAGAATAATTCAAAGCTTTCCAAAAAATATTATCTATCCTGGTTTGATCATTACACATTGTATATATGTACTGAATTATCACCCTCTAAGCCATAAATATATGCAATATTGGATTCCAAAGTGAAATTTTCATGTTTTTCATTCTATTTCAAGTAAGATATTAAATAAAATTGAATTGAGAATATTCTCAAAAGATGCCTGTGAAGTTATTAGTAGTATTACTATAAAAATGGTAACCATCACTATACAGAACAGAGCACGTTTAGCTATACAAATAGTGTATAGTTACAAGTAGTGTATCTCACCTATTTTCATTTCTCTGTCTTTGCAGATCATGTATTTCAGTTCTCTGTTCCCATATGTGGTACTTATTTGCTTCCTAATCAGAGCACTTCTTTTAAATGGTTCTGTTGATGGCATCCGCCACATGTTCACCCCTAAGGTATGTACCATATTTCTTTTTAAGGTTTATGGTCATTAGGTTTATTTTTTTAAATGTTCCCACAGTTATGTTTAGGGCTAATTGTTCTAACAACAAGTCTTTTAAATTACAATTAGGCTAACCAGTCTAGCAAAATAAGAGTTTTCATATATTTCTAATTAAATACAACCAGCTTTAAGTTTCAATATCCAATTTTTGTTCTAAAGTAAGTCTATCAGTATTTACACTTCAAAAATCCCTCATTTATAATAAGTTAACTTCTGGGTTTTACATTAACAAATTTAGAGACTTTTTGATTTTTGTTTACCCATCCCCTTTCTTCAGTTGCTCTTTGATCTTTTTGTGCTGTGAATTTCTTTGAAACTCTTAACAGTAATAACTTCCTACTAGAAAAAAATTAATGGCCATATTAATTTACATAGTGTTTCAGAAGCACCTGAGATTCATGGAATCAAGTAAAGGATCCAGTGTGTCCTAGAATACTGTTTCATGAGAAATAAGTGTTTTTCTCCTTTTGAGATCTCATACCTTCAGGAATAATATTAATAGTAGTCAGTTTATGATCTTTTATAAGTGCATATACATTTCAGGAAAATTCTTATTAGTCTTCACAGAGGGCTCAGAACTTACAGGTATTCAACTAAGTAGAGTTGAACTCAGCACTGGGAATACTGAACCTGGTTAATTAGAACTTCTGGACTTAATCATACCTTCAGGAATAATATTAATAGTAGTCAGTTTATGATCTTTTATAAGTGCATATACATTTCAGGAAAATTCTTATTAGGCTTCACAGAGGGCTCAGAACTTACAGGTATTCAACTAAGTAGAGTTGAACTCAGCACTGGGAATACTGAACCTGGTTAATTAGAACTTCTGGACTTAATCATACCTTTATATTTGGGTCCAACAGGAAGCAAAAATAAGTTTGAGTGTATATATGTATATATATATATATATATATATATATATACACACACACATATGAATACTCAACAAAATACTGTTCTACATTTCCATTAGTTTGCTAATACTATCTTAAGCAGACATTAAGATGCAGCTTGAAAATAGTTCAGAAATTGGGAGTTATCTAAATGTGCAGTTCAGATTGTGCTATGCTCTGGGCAGAATGATTGGCTCTGTGGAATTCTTTGCCACCCCTGGCAGCTGCCTTGACATGACGTAAAAGAAGCTGTGTTCTTTGTATGTCTGACTCTTAGTTGGTGTTCATTCTGTAGTGGCAGAAATGCTGACGTCTGTGTCTGGTTTTCTTGCCTAGTTCAAAAGTCCTGTTAAACATTTAGATTCATGGGAAGTTATCCTCAGTGAAAAACCAGTTTAGATTTATAAATCTGAGATACTTTATAGTTAAAATCTGCCTCAAATGGACCATACTTAATGATCAAAATATTTATAGCGTTGAAAAAATAATGTTTTCTGAGATCAAGACAACATAATTCTGTGTGAATTTTTGAATATATCTACTTCCTAAATTGGCAATTATTTGTGACACAATTCTGAATGTTTGATATAAGTAAATATTTTAGAATTTAATATAATACTTTTATATATCCTCGGTTTTTAAAACTTCAGCATAAATTAGTATTTATTAGTGTTTATAACCTGAATCACTATAAAAATGTTAATTTTTTCTTCGGCTTACTTTTCATTGGCTGTTAAGATGCTGCATGTGGTCCCTCTGGTCTGTCATAGTTAAGATAAAAATGATGTATTTGTAAATTACTTTTTAATTTAGATTATTTATGTTGGGAAGTACGTGCCTCAGCATGCAAAATACTCTGAAACAGCAAGTAGAGATTTAGTTCAGAAATTGAAAGCCAGTTCTATGTTGTTAGTAAATTGGTCTTTCCTGCCATCTAGTGGGTGAACTCAGCATAGACAGCTGAGTGTGTTTTAATCAGCATTAATCATAGACCGATAATGTAGAAATGGTGAATTATATCTATAGTTTAGTTAATTGCCCATGAATTATAAATATAATCATTATGTTTCACAAGCACATATAATAAATTTAAAAATGCTAACGAAATCAACAAATCTTAATATTTGGGAGAACATGGACTTTTGAGATTTGCTACACCTATAATTTACTTCTACCTCAGAAACGCTGTGTACCTTAGGTAGGTTTCTTAGCCTTTCACAGTCAGACAATAAGTTGTGTCAACTTCATGGGTTGTCACAATAGTAAGTGAAGTAAATCATACCACTGTTTATTAGTGTGTCTGCCACTGTACTTCATTTATGTTATCAGCCATGGATCACTTAGGCTATGGTAGGTACTGTGCTAAGTAATACAATTCTTGTTATTCCCAACTTTAAACTGAGAAAGGCAAAACTCAAAGAGGATGTACAGTTTTCCCTGGGTTGCACTATATTAAAAGTTCACACATTCAGAACGTTAGAACTTAGGATCTGAGAGGGTATCTTACAAATGGTTTAGTTGGATTTCTTCTATTTTCAAAAAACTGACTTTCAGGAAACTTTAGAATGAGTAATAACAGTGCAAATATGAAATTTATAAAATGTTCAACTTTATCAAGTGTGTAACTGCTATCTGCTTCAATTATTAGACTTACACAAGAAAACACAAAACTTAAGAGCATTAATGAGGTTAATTATTTAGCACCTTTTGATAATTGGTTTATTTTGCTTTCATAATAGAAAAAAATTGAAGATAATTTCTCTCATATACTCTTGTGATGGTTTGTCTTAAAATGTTTAAAAATTCCTGTGTAAGAAGAAAATCTCCAAGTAAGTAAAATTTCCATGCAAAGGCCTGATAGTCGTTTCTATTCATATTCTTTGATTCGTTCCAGAAAAAAAATCAGGTTATTTCTGCTTAAAGAACAGATTATCCCTCAAATTTTAACAACTCTTAGGTGCATAAATATCATTGTAATTTACTTAAGCAGTAGAACTAATTCCATGTTAGTGGTTATTCTGAAATACTATTTTGTAGCTGACTTCTATTCTGTTTAATTTCAAACAGCTTGAAATAATGCTGGAGCCCAAGGTGTGGAGAGAAGCTGCTACCCAGGTGTTCTTTGCCTTAGGTCTGGGATTTGGTGGTGTTATTGCCTTCTCAAGCTACAACAAGAGGGACAACAACTGCCATTTTGATGCTGTGCTGGTGTCTTTCATCAATTTTTTCACTTCTGTCCTGGCGACATTGGTGGTGTTTGCAGTTCTGGGCTTCAAAGCAAATGTCGTAAATGAAAAATGCATTGCACAGTATGGATAATTCATTTCCACTAGCTTTTGATGGCATAGTTGTATGCGAAAATGTATGTCAAAGAACCTGAGTTGCTCATTCATATGCTGTTCTATTTTTTCAGAAATTCAGAGATGGTTATAAAATTTTTGAAAACTGGAAACATTAGTCAAGATATTATTCCCCATCACATTAACCTTTCAGCTGTTACTGCAGAAGATTATCGTTTAGTGTATGACATCATTCAAAAAGTGAAAGAAGAAGAGTTTCCTGTCCTTCATCTCAACTCCTGTCAAATTGAAGATGAGTTAAATAAAGTTAGTAGGTCATGTTTGAGCAATGAAATAATAATCATTCAGTTAAAATAGGCCTTATGCAGCACACTTCTTTCAAGAAAATGTTTTTTTAAAGGCTAGAGAAGATTATGCTGTTTCAAAACTCACATTCTTCATCTCAGAGAAATTCTTATGCAAATATTTGTTTTACTTTAAAATTTAATTCCATTGATTGAGTCACATTAATTAAAATATGAATATGAATAGAGTGATTTTCGTCATAGAATGGCGATCATTCTAATCATTTTCTTGGAATTTGATACAGAATTTGAACTATGACTCATTTGTGTGTACATTAAGTGATTGCTTCGATGCTTGAGTGATATTTGAAAGAATCATTTTAACAGTTGTATTTCACAAGTCATTATTCTTTTTTCTTAGCCACTTTCATAAATTTTAACAAGTATGGAACTGGTACTAAATATCCTTTTTTTGGCTGCCACTGCATTCTTGTATTATCAAAAAGGAAAACAGAATGGAAAAACTGTCCATCAGACAGGTGCTCTGCAATTTGAATCACTCTCCCAGCCTTTTTGGCATGGGTCATTTTTGAGTTCGGGTGTTGCCTTATGCCAGGCTGGTCTGAATCCTTATCTTCCTATTTGCATTTCTGTGCTTAGCTAGGATGACAGTCATGTGCACCACACCCAGTCATTAGTTGAGACGGGGTCTTGTAAACTTTTTACCTGGGCTGGTCTTGATCTGCAATCCTCCTGATTTTCTCCTTGCAAGCAGCTAGGATTACGGGCTTGAGCTACCATGCTTGGGCCAAATTGTTTTTTCTTTTTCTTTTTAATTCTGATCTATCTGTTGTTTTCAGCTTCTTAAAGATAACTCATTATTTTATAGCTCAACATTTGTGATATTTATAAAAATTAACTCTTGTTAATGTTTGCTAGCAATCCTGTTTCATTCTACCTACTTGTCTCTTTATCCATTTTGTTATTAACATTTATCTGAAAATTCATGGTGTCTCTTGAATTATGAAAATCAACATATCAATCCAACTTTTTTAAAGCAGGAAGATAGGAATCTGAAGCAGAATAAACTAAGATATAATGTACTTTTTTTAAGATTTGAAAATTGACTTTTTGCAATCCACTTACTGTTTACATCCTCTTATTTTGCATTCACATTTTTCTGTAGAGTTTAAAATAGTTTATTAGTCATAGTATATTTTCTTTATACCAGTTGACTAAGCTATGCTGTATATGGTCCAGAAATTGTTAAATAGATATTTGGATTTATGTTTCTTTAGTAATAAATCACTATTCATATCTATAAGTTTTAACCAAAGGAAAAATACTACACATTTTTAAACACAATATATCATTCCAGGGTCCTTGTGAAACAATACACACTGCAATGTAATTGTGTAATCTGTTTAGCAATTCTGAATAGTTTCATTATCTGGCAACCTGATATGATTAAATTTGAGTCCCAAGAATGAGAGTATAATTTAAGAGGATAAAAGCTTATGCCATCATGTTTATTTCAGGTGGCCTCAGCCATTATTTAGAGAGCCCCCTTTCCTTTGTACGTGATACATAGATACGTAAGATTTTTGTGTTAATGTGCTACTTCCTGTATCTCACAGGCCGTTCAGGGCACGGGTTTGGCTTTCATCGCCTTTACAGAAGCAATGACGCATTTCCCTGCATCTCCCTTCTGGTCAGTGATGTTTTTCCTCATGCTGGTAAATCTAGGGCTTGGCAGCATGTTTGGAACCATTGAAGGGATCATCACGCCTATTGTGGACACTTTCAAAGTGAGGAAGGAAATTCTTACTGGTGAGGTTTTATGTATTTGACTTTTCATTGAAATGGTACCCCATTTTGTTCTTGATGAGAAATTAGAGGTTGAAATAGGAAAGTGTTGTGTTTTGGATTTTTAAATGTCTGCTTATTCGTATTTGTTATTTTAATATGTCTTTATATAATAAGTTGTATTTAATTATTCATTAATAAATATATGGTTAATTACTAATACTAATGAATTTATTATACTAGAATAAAGTTACAGATGTTAATGAATAATTGTGTATAGAATTCCAATAATTATATATAGTGTAGTTCAAATTGAATTACTCCTTAACCCAGAAGTGAATAGATGTAAATGATAAATCCAGATCCGGTACTCAGTCATAACGATTGTAGTTTACCAAAAGTTAATGTTTCTTGTTAGGAAAGAAAATAAAACAAATTGTCAGAATGATTTTTTATATGTTTAGTAGCAAGTGATAATTAAAGTACCAGTTCTGCACTGCACCTGCTTTGCATTTGAGGAGCATAAGGAATAAAAGAGAAATCATAATAGATATAAATAAGCAAGTTTCAAAAAAAATAGTAGTACTTAGTAGTACTAAATTAAGATTAGGTTGAATAGATAGGACCTGTATTATATGATATGCAGATAGCACAATGGAGAGTTTACATTCTAGGAAAATTCAAGACAGGCTAAGTGACTTAAGCTTAGGATGGAACTTTCAAAGAAAGAAATGAAAATTGAACTAGAAAGATTAAGGACCTTCTCAGAGGTCAAATGATAGCTTTAGCAAACATATATAAATGGAAATAAAGGAAACAGTAAAGAACCTAGCCAGAGCAGACTAAAAGAACTGTACTGGGAAGTGGTCCAGAATAAGACTGTATATGAGATAAAGAGGTGATCTTGAACACTAGGCAGTGGTGCACAAATTTCCCAATGCTCTTTATTTTCTTTAGCATTGAAAAGTTTAATAATGATTTGTGTGTAAATAGATCAAGTAAAAGTCTTGCTGCTTTAATTGTAAATAGGAATGTATGAATCAATTTAATTTCAGCACTTTATGAAATATTTTTATCTATGTATAGATGAACAACAATTGTTAAACTTCTTTGTTTTCTCCCAGAAAAGAGTTTCTATTTTGAATACCAGTACCTATACCATGCCTGATATACAGACTATAAAAGCACTGTTGCATTTTTTTCTTTTCTTCTCCCTGTATCCAAATGATCCCTTCATGTAGTAAAGGGCTTAAAAATTAAAAGAAATGTAACAATGCAGAAGGAAAATGACAGCATTTTCTGACTCCCACTGGAAGATTTATTTGGAAAGTACTCTCTTCCCCTGTGTCCTGTCTTTTGAAATCAAGTTTTTACTTCAAGTCACAGTTGCACTATGTAAATGTCATCTTATCACCTTTGTTAGATATTTTCTCTTCTTTATTACAATAAGACTTAGATAAGGGAATTATTAATTATCTTTTCTCCAGCAAAACTCCACCTATAACACCTAGAATGCACTTTCTTCCTACTTTTCTTACAGACTGTGGTGCAATTAGGCAAGAATACATGCTCTACTTTCGATTTTACTCAGTTCTGCTAAAAAGTGATTGAGAAATAGAGCACAGTAATCTTTTATTTTTGTGGCCTCTGCTAATGAACTTGAGAGAATAGAGTCTTACAAAAATATGGGATTATATGGATTATAAAAGTATGTCTAAATTTTTATATTAATTGTAACTGATCAGAAGTTTATGTGTCTGTTTCTTAGACATTACTTAGTAAACTACTTTTAGATTGTTCTTCAGAGTTGTTACTTGGATAATCAGATTGCTTGACACTATAAAAACTAATTTCCACAATAATAAGGAGATAAGGGTGGGTGGTGCTGAGGCTACATGTGATCATATCTTTCCAGTTACACTTTAAAGAAAACATATTTCACATACAAAAACATATAGATTTTTTAATCTTATTATAAACCACATTAGAAGCTTATAAAGATAAATGACTGTCAGGTGCCTGTGGTTTATACCTGCAATCATAGTTAGTTGGGAGGCTGAGACTGGGTAGATCCAGGTTAGAGACCAGCCCAAGCAAAGAGTTTGTGAGACCCATCTCAACCAATAGCTGGGTGTGATGAATGCCTGTCTTCTCAAGATAGATGGCAGGCTAACATTGGGAAGACTGTGGTTCCAGGAAGGTCTGTGCAAAACATGTTTGTGAAACCCCCCTCTCAATAGATAAAAGCTGATGTCATGTGCCTGTCATCCCAGCATGGGTGGAAATGTAAAATAGAAGAATTGGTGTCCAGGCTGTCCTGTGCAAAAAATAAAACCTATCTCCAAATTAACCGAGGCAAAAAGGGCTGGAGGTGTGGCTCAAGCAGTAGAGCATCTGTCTATCAACCATGACACCCTGAGTTCAAACCCAAGATCACACACACACACACACACACACACACACACACACGGCAGTAAAGATAAGAATGACTTATGAGTATTTGCTCTCTGAACAAGTACTCTTTGCTAGTAATGCTACTAACGATAGAAGTATGGTATGGAAATTTATACTCTAAATTTTGTCTCAATTTTGCCTCATTTAATATTTGTGCTGGGTAATTGAGATTCTAGAGACTGAGGGAGATAAGTTAGTATTTTACAGTGAATTTATATTCTAGCTGAGCCTAAATCCAGATAACATAACTCCCAATAGCAATATCCATAGTGTCAGGAAATACATTGCCTATAACAAATTATAAAAGTTGGAAATATTGTTTGAATGTAATCTTTAATTTATAATGGCTCAGTTTAAAAGGCTTGACTTTGAGTAGAGGCTCATTTTTTTTTTCCCATGTTATTCTTTTCCCCCAGTTATCTGCTGCCTTCTGGCATTTTGTATTGGTCTGATATTTGTGCAGCGCTCTGGAAATTACTTCGTTACAATGTTTGATGATTATTCTGCTACATTGCCTCTGCTAATTTTAGTCATTTTGGAGAATATTGCTGTAAGCTTTGTTTATGGAATAGATAAGTAAGTATATTTGTTTTTATGCATTCATTTCTAATCTCTATTTTGAACAGCCCAATTATCAATCTTTGTAGAATTTGAAAGGGGAGAGAAATGAAAAGAGAAAAATTATTTACCAAGTCAGACAGTTTGCAGTCTCTTATTCATCCCTTCTGGATGAGTAGCTAGAATTGTGTACACTGTAAGATCATCTGGAATCCTGGACTTTGGTTTAATTCTGGCTATCAAATAATAACTTCCAAGATCTAGTGAGTGTTGGCTAAGTTCTTTTGAATTGTTATTGCTACCTATATTTCACAGATGGGGAAAATCAAGAGACACCAAGTGACTTTCTCATCACACATCTGGAGAGCACCAGTCCTGGGATAGCCATTTTGTTTAAACCTAAACCGTATCTCCAAATTATTTTGTAAGCTATTTTATGACAGGATTGTGTGCATCGTAATACTTACAGTAGCAGCATAATTTGAGAAAAGGATATGTTTCCCTGACATACGTATATCATTTCCTGTTCACAAACTTCATATTAATATGTAATCATTATTTGAATTGACTATATATGCCTACACCTCTGAATTATGTACTTTCTTGATGTTAAAAAAAATACATATTTCATGTGAAAAGAAACGTTAGACTAATCTCAAAGGAAAAATAAAACCTTTAAAGTATTTATCCAATGCTTTTTAAAGACATTGTAATTGACATATATGGATTGAGTGTTGATAAGATTATGAAGCTTATGAGCGCCTTATGTAAAGTTGGAATGAGTACATATTAAATGAAGACCAAAGTCCTCATGAGTGACATAAAGATTATTGACATTGCATATATTTTGTGACAAAGCTTCAAGAATGTTTAGTACTGTCAAAATCTCCAAGCCAGGAAGGATTGAAGACCTACATTTAATAACCACATACTATATAGAAAAAGTAGTAGCAAATCTATCTAACATGTGTTAACACTTATGCCTCCTAAAACCACTGTGTATAGCAAATAAGCATATGAAAAGATGTTCTATGCTAAAGTCCTCAGAGAAATGCAAATTAAACCAATAATGAGTTACTGCTACACTCCTGCTAGAGTGGCCCATGTCCAGAACATCAACAACACAGTGTTGCTGAAAATGTTAACCAACAAGAGTCTTTCATTGCAGGTGAGAATGTGAAATAGTAAAGCCACTCTGCAAGACAGTTTGGCACTTTCTAACAAAGCAGAAGATACTTTTACCATATGATTCATCAAGTGCACTTTTTGATATTTACTCAAAAGAATTGAAAACATATGTTCATTAAAAACCTGTGCACAAATCTTTGTAGCAGCTTTATTCATAATTATCAAAAGTTGGGAGTAACCAAAATGTCCTATAACGAATGAATAAATAAACTATGGTACATCCAGACAATTGAACATTATTCAATGCTAAAAAGGTTGTAAATGCATACTGCAAAATGACAGAAGGCACACTGATAAGGCTACAACCTGTATGATACCAACTATATTACATTCTGGAAAAGTTAAAAAAAATGGAGCTAACATAAAGATCAGTGGTTGACAGGAGTTGAGGGGAAGGGATGCATAGGTGCCACCCAGAGAATGTTTAGGGCAGAGAAACTACTTTGATATTTTAAGGGTAGATATGTATCATTATACATTGTCCCATAGAATGTACAACATGAAGAGTGAACTCTAATATAAGCTATGGATTCAGGATAATGATGTATCAATGTAAATTCAACAATTGTAACAAGTGTGCAACTCTGGTGGGGGATGTTGGTAATAGGGGAGGCTATGGTTATGTAGATGTAGAGGATATATAGGAATCTATAACCTCAGTTCAATTTTGTTTTGAATTTAAAATTTCCCTACAAATACAGTCTGTATAACAAAAATCATCTGTGGCAACTAACATTCCTCATGTTAGGGGAAATTTGCCTCTTTTGCAGAGGAAGATGTAGTATGTTAGCTGTAGAGCCAGAATTTTCACCTAGACCTCAATTTCAAAGCCAGGCTTCTTAACACTATACCAAGTATACTCTAACTTCCAGTCTGCACCATGATAGAATATGACAATGTTAATGGACTTCTCTGTCAATTTGGGTTTGTTTAAATAGCTTATTTCCAGTAGATGTGCTGCAGAATATAATTCAAAAGTTCCTAAACAATAATAGTGATAACAGCAGAAGGAAAAATAATATTGATAAAAATGCATGTATTGAATTCCTACTGTGTATGAGGTAGCATGTTCAGAATACATTGTTTATGATTTGTAACAGTATTTTTCCAAGGAAGGTGTTATAGCATATATATTTTTAAAAGGCCAAAAATGCAGCTCAGAGAGATTAAGATGTGCATTTAAAGGTGGCAGAACTATGACTAAAAATAATGTCTTTGATCTTCAAAAGTCATATTTTGTCTTAGGTACATAATTCTCACATCAAAGATGTTCTCAATTACTTTTCCCTCACTTGAGATTCTTGAGAATCTTTATATTCTTCCTGTTCACCTCCAAAAATTTCATGAACCCAATTTTACTCAACATCCTCACACATTTTCACCTATGTTTCTGCAGATAATATTGAAATAAAGTAGACAATAAAAATCTAAACTTTGTTGATACAGCAAATTCCAATGCAGAGAAAGAAAATAGTGGAACATACCAATTTAGTGAAGAAGGGGAATAGAAATAAGAGAAAATGGAAAGGAGAACGCTGCCAAGCTGAAAATAATACCAAAGTATTTTGTTTTTTCTTTCTTTTTAAAAATTCTCTTCAATGACTGAAATAGCAAACCAAGGAGTCATGGTCATTGTTCAGAAGACATTTCTATGAACTCTAAGTCATGAAAGGGTAAAGATAAATGAAGTCAGCTTCAAGAACTACGTGATATCACATTTGTGTGGCAGGTAGCAAAAGACATTTAGGTGGATTTCTGACATATCCTTAACCATCTGCATCTCCTCCTTGAGAAGTGAGGAGCCACTCAGAACACATGGCCTAAACTGGAGACATTTCATACGGTCCTTGCCCTCACTTCAAAGCTTACAATGGATGCAGAATACAATAAGATTATCAATATTAAAGAAATATGCTCTCCATAAGCTCTTGAAACTAGCAAATCAAAGTTTCCTCCCCAGATGAAAATCTGCACTGAGAAAAAATGATGAGGAAAAATATGAATTAACAGGACAGAGTTGATGAGAGCATTGAAAAAGGAAAGTCCAGATAGATACTATAAAAGGACAGCATAAGATCAGAATTAAAAAGAAGTAATTAGAGACAAGAAATGTTGAAAATAGAGGTGGTATAACTCAGAAAACAAAAATGAAAACACTTAAGTGATGATGATCAAATTAAAAAGAGCATAAAACTAAAAGCACAATGTCTAATTCCATGAGAATAAAACAGAAGAGAATATTTTTTAAACCAAGAAGAATTAATGAAGGTTTTAAGAAAAGGAATTGAAACAGAAGTTAACAACAAATGATTCAAAGCATGTTAAAGCAGTGGCCAGAACAAATACAAACAACTGTAATTCAAGAAGCTGACCTGAGATGTCAAAAAGCCGTACAATAGTATCAATAACAGACATAATGATCAACACAAGGACACAATTTAGGTTATTAGCTCAAAAAAAATGGAGCATCCATGCAAAAACAAATCAGAAAGCAAAATCGTTTCTAAAAGAAAACTCTGTGAACAGACTTTACGTAACAAGATTATACTGTTAATTCTATGTATGATATTCAAGGAAAGAAAATGATTCTAAAATTTACCCAAGCTGAAATTCAAGCATAGTTACTACAGACAATAACAAACAAGAATTTAGGAAGATTGTTACAATCTCTCTGAAGAATCTACCAGAGAACTGGATTTAGACTACTGAAATGTCTACAGAATCATTAGCACCAGGTGGACAGTAAATGTTCATTATTAGGTAGACTGTCATGGCTACATGCTCCGACTGTACTAACATTGCACCTAAAAAGGTGAATTACTTTTCTTATAAATTGTATCTTAATATAGTTTATAATTTTAAAAATTCAACTTTCATCATGACTTCATGTTTAATTATAATTTATGGGACACAAGGAGGTAAGATGTTCTTCTGAACAATACTGTCACTTATCATTAGCAAATCCACACTGGAAAACTATAGGACAACATACTAGCTGATTAAAAAAAATAAAACTGGAAGAAACAACAACAAAAAAATAAGAGGAGGAACCTGGAGATTAAGGACATATGAGAGCTGATGGAATGGTTTAAGCAGTAACAGTGTCTGCCTTGCCAGTGTGAGGCCATGAGTTCAAACCCTAGTGCTGCCCCCTAAATAAACAAAAATAAACAGACTTGAGAGATATATCAATTTGTCATAAGATATGAACTTTCTTTCAATTAAAGCAGTTTGTAAAAAGAAGTGAGTTCAGAAAATGCAAACACCAATTAGGTTTGATATTTGATGATATTAAGGAATTTTTACTGTGCAAAAATTAGTTAAGGATTTTTTGAATATTGTAAATGCTGCGTTCATAAGAAAGGAAGCTTCAGTAAGAAGTCACTTTTCCGTACTTGGCTTTAAGCTAGTTTTCACTAAATGGAAATTATAGTACTTAACCAATTTCATTTTACTTCATACATTTTCTCACTTTATAAGTCATCTTCCAATATGAATTTTTGATCAATGCAAAATGTCACAAGGTATTGATGGTTCAATTTCTGTCCAATCTTTAATGAACTGCACATTTTTAAGGTATAGCAATTTTAACTTGAGGAATTAATTAAGCACTTTCTTTCTGTTTAGGTTTATGGAAGATCTAAAAGATATGCTGGGTTTTGCTCCAAGCAGATATTACTATTATATGTGGAAATATATTTCTCCTCTAGTACTATCATCATTGCTAATAGCTAGCATAGTGAACATGGGATTAAGTCCTCCTGGCTACAGTGCATGGATTGAAGATAAGGTAAAATACAAAATAAAAAAGATTTTTAAAAAGTTTAAAAAGTGCCAGGTTTTTGTCTTATATTTTCTTCACCCATATTTATTGCTTATTAATGAATGATTTGATTTCAGGAACCCTTACATTTATGATTGTGCCTAGGTTTTGTTTTGGTTTGGTTTTCTTTTGGGGGGGATACTACGATTTGTACTCAGTGCCCTTGTGCTTGCTAGGCAGATGCTCTACTCCCTAAACCCAAGCCTTCAGCCTTTTTTGTTGTGTTTATTTTTGAGATAGGGTCTCACATTTCGGCTGGCCTGGACCACAATCCTCTTATTTGGATGATAGGAACATACCCTCAGGCTCAGATTTTTCTGCAATGGGGTCTTGCAAACTTTTTTGCCCAGTCTGGCCTTGAATCAAAATGTTCCCAATCTACACCACCCTAGTAGCTAGAATGATAAGTGTGAGCCACCAACACCCAGCTATGTTTCTGTTTTTAAACCTTGTGATTTTTTTAGTGTATTAAAATCCCTGACCTTTTCCATTCATTTGTTGTGTCATTGATGAACTAACCTTTGGGCCTTTGACTCTAGCAAACAATTTAATCAAGCCTCTATAAGTATTTTCTACATATATATATATTAAATTATATGTCAGATACTACACAATGAAAATACACATATTAATCATGTAAATATAATTTAAAATAAGTAAATATTGGAAGAAAGTTTGTAACATCTGTTTTCTATCAGCAACAACTATTTAAATTTTTCCATTCAAGTAGCTTTAGCGACATATTAATATAAATATGAGATACATATTAGCTGTTGCAAAATCAGCATCTTTCTTCTATCCTTTAACTTTCCCATGCTCAATAATTCCATATAATAATAACAACAAAGTCACAGTTGAGACATAAAGGAGCCTGTTAGCCTTACCAAATCACTTTGGGCCAGATGTGCTTTGAAATTTAGATTTTCAGATTTTTGGAAGATATGACACATGTAGTAGGTATCTATTGATTAGTAACAAACAACTCCCCAAACTCCATGACTAAAAGTTATGCTGATTTATTTTCTTACTTTTTCTGTGAACTGAGCAGTTCCTTGGTCTTGCTTGGGATAACTAATACAGTTGCATTCAGCTTGGAGAGCTGAATTCTCTCTCTCTCTCTCTTTCTTTCTCTAGCGGTCTTTCATTCCTGGCCTCTAAAGTATCATAGAGTCAGGGAGCATTCTAAGAAACAGAAGCAAAATTGGCAAGTCCCTTAAGGCCTACTACTGGAATTTTCTGAATGTCACTTCTATTGGTCTATGGACCAATCTATTCCAGATTTCTTTATTTACAAACCTGACACAAATGTAATTGATTTATGTGTGTCTATAGAAAAATAGATTGTGAAAAATTATCTCTTTTGCTTTCAAAGGCGTCTGAAGAATTCCTGAGCTATCCACCATGGGGAATGGTTGTCTGCATCTCTCTGATGGTCATTGCAATTCTTCCTGTCCCGATAGTCTTCATTGTTCGTCTTTGCAACCTCATAGACGATAGTTCTGGCAACTTAGCTTCAGTGACCTATAAAAGAGGAAGGGTCCTGAAAGAGCCTGTAAACTTAGAGGGAGATGATGCAAGCCTCATTCATGGGAAGATACCAAGTGAAATGTCATCTCCAAATTTTGGTAAAAATATTTATCGAAAACAGAGTGGCTCACCAACTCTGGATACTGCTCCTAATGGACGTTATGGAATAGGGTATTTGATGGCAGATATGCCAGATATGCCAGAGTCTGACTTGTAGTTGGGGGGAAATCAGAGCATTATATTTGGTTCATTGTTATCAATGAACATTGGCTCTACTATGTGAAGCACTGGGCTTCACTGATCAGACGGCAATCTCAGGTGTTCTATGGCTCACATCTTAACTCCTAACAGTGTATGTCAGTTCAACCACAGCATTCCTTTGGATTCTTTGGTTTACATTTGTGCACAAAGGATTACAACAAAGCTCACAATGACTGAGGCCCATGTTTGTCAGGATTTTTTAAAGTACTTTTGGTGTATTTTCAAGTATTTCTATCTCTAAAAAAAAAGCAGGTGTTACCTCAGTTTGTAATAATTTCTGGATTTAATGGTATTGGGAATTTAAAAAATGATGTACCTTAAATTTACAAGTTAACCTTGAGGGTAACTATCAGTATTACAATGAGCAGTTATATGAGTCAGTGCCTCTAGCACATTTCCATGAATATATTGTGTAGATAGCTGTACTTACTTTGGTAACATTGATACCTTCTTAGGCACTTAGTTGAAGAAAATTGCAAAATATTTTCTTACATAATCCTTGTATAGAACAATACTATTGAAGAAAAAGAAGGCACTAATGTGGGGATGAAAGTTTAGATTCAGAGGTGACTGAGGACCATGTGAGTGATGGCTGTATATTCAGTGTGAAATAGATGTATGAAAATTATGTAAGAGTCTAAGAGTGAGTCACTCAGCACTCTCAAGAATTATGCAGATTCTGCATTTTTCTTATGCCCTGTGCCTAAAAAATCTTCTTGATATTTATTGTGGTTTCAAGATTACTCATAGTATATTTATACTGTGTATTTGCAATGTATATAGATGTACATTAGTACTCTAAGTACTGATTTGAAAACCCGAAGCAAGATGGCATATTATTTCATATATTTGTTTTGCTTCTGTTTTTTGCAAATATAAATCCTTTTTTAAGTGATTGTTAAAATTGTATGGCATTACATTTTAATTTACAAATAAACAAAGTTTAAAAAATGGTGTTTTTGTAACATTGGTCTTTCTTGAATCAGCTGAGCTGGATTAGGGTCTTTGTTCCACCTGAACTAGATTGTCTAGCACTTCACTCAGCACTTAGGCATTTCATAATAACCTTCACATTCCAAGTGGTATTAATAGCTTGATTAATGGAGCTACAACTGCTTTAGAGACAAAGGAATAACAGAGTATTTTAGTAACATGATGTATTAATGTAGTCTAACAATACTGAAATATACTCATAGCCTTTCTGAAGCCATGTGTCCAGTTGAATGCTTTCTGTACTAGAGCTACCTCTAAAGTTAAGTATTGTGAATTTTAAAAATGAAAATCCTGCATCTATGACACTAGATAAAGCAAGGGAATCCTCTATACAGTAGCTTTTCAGTATTCAATACAAAGTACTGACTATAATCCTCATGGTTTACACTAGGTATCTAGACCTACTCATCCTATATAACGGCAAACCTATTTCTTTTGTCCTGCTTCTTCCCATTTCCTCCCCCCGCAGCCCTGGTAACCATTGTTCTATTCTCAGTTCCCACCTATATGATTTTTTTTAAGACTTCACTTATAAGTGATATCATGCAATATTTGTCTTTTTGTGTCTGCCTTAATTCTTTCAACGTAATGTCCTTCATTTTCATCTGTGTTGTTACACATGATAGTATTTTAAAAAGGCTAAATAATATTTTATTATACATAATGAATTTATTTTTTACCATTCATCCTTTGGTGAGCACTTAGGTTGTTCCTCTACCTTGGCTATTATGGACAATGCAATAATGCAATGAACACAAGAGCACAGCTAACTCTAGGAAGTATTGATTTCGTTTTTACTGTGCATACTCTGCATTTTGGGTGTCTTCCTTGCACTGGGAAAAATCTCCACCCTAATAGGCACACATTAATATGAAGAATTCAGGAATTAAATTTTTGAGGTACAGAGAATGTAAACCCCTTCTGATTCTCTCAGTTGGCAGATTCTAAACTAGAATGAGGAAATCAAAGCAAAGTGAGTAAGGTTCTCTCCTTTTTGCTTCTTTCATGGAACCAAATCTTCAGCTGTTCTTTTATTCTTTCGTTTACCCTTCTTTTAATGTCTGTTACTAAAAAAAATCCACCTTATTCTTAGTATTAAGCATAAATGCTATCCACCTTTTCCTTATTTACTTCTCCTTGCCAATGAGATCCCTTATCTGTCTTTTCCCGGCACTATACTATTTAATCAAGAAGTAGTTGTTTGAAGAATACTTTTAAAATTTGAGGTACTTGTCTTTGCATTGTTTTCTACCACTTCTTTAAAGTTTGTCCTGAACTTACATCTAGATGGGACATTGTCAAGAATTCTCTATTTTGTTTGCTTATTTTTTTCTTTGCTGCACTGGGGTTTGAACTCAGGGCCTCATGCTTGCTAGGCAGGTGCTCTTACTACTTGAGTCACTCCACCAGCCTTTTTTTGTGTTGAGGTTTTTGGAGATAGGATCTTGGTAACTATTTGCTCAGGGCTGACTTCAAACCACAATCCTTCTGATCTGTGCCTCCTGAGTAGCTAGAATTACAGATGTGAGCCACTGGCACCTGGCAAATATGTTTTGTTTTTTGTTTTTTTCTTTCGGCAGTTTTGCAGTTTGAACTCAGGGCCTTACACTTGGTAAGCAGGCACACTTGCTGCTTGAGCCACTCCGTCAGCCCAAATTCTCTGTTTTCAAATGCGAAGGAAGCTGGGAGTAACAGAATGTCTTCTTTAGTGTTCAGAGTAAAACAAGAGGATAAGGGAGGAAATAGGCTCACTGTTAGGCGTAAGAGTTGTAATACAGGAGCCCAACGTCTTGATTCAATGAGGCCATATGATGTAGCTTAATGAAACTCAATTTGTGCTTCAGTGGATTTAAAGCTTTCCATTCCTTTATTATTAGTTTGTGAAAGTTTTAATTGACACAATTGAGCATATTTATGGAGTATACTGTGACAATATAATTCGTAAGGATCAAACCAGGGTAATTAGCATTTCAACCTCTTTTAGTATTTATCATTTCTTTGGGGCCTACAAACTCTTTTTCTTTTAGTTCTACATAAAATAGATAATAAATGGTGAGCTACAGTCACCCTACTGCACAGTAGAACACCACAACTTATTCCTTCCATCTAACTGTATTTTGGTGCCTGGTATTCAACCTGTCTTTATTCCCCATCTCTCACACCCTCCAGAGATTCAAGTAAATACTATTCTACTGTTTTCTTCCATGGTATCATCTTCTCACTTTCCACACATGACTGAAAACATGTGATGTGCTCTTGGATGCGGAAGTTACTTTTTCATCTGACTTTCAAATATGTTTATGATTCCAAAAATTCCAAGATAAAACATAAAGCTTATTACCTATGCTTCTAAGTTAAGTCACTTGTGTTTTTAAAGACATATTTATTACCCTCTGAATTAACATCCTCTTAGGGTAGGTAAAGGACACAAGTTTTTTTTTTTGTTTATTACTCTTCAGAATTATCCTTACGTGCATTCTTAGCTAGCAACTGTGAGCACAAAGAAAATGCAAAAAATGACAGAATATGAATCCTAATTTGTCTTCTCTTGAACAAAATGAAAATAAAAGTGTATAGCAATGACAAGTGGGACTAAAACATTTTGGTAGGGAGGCATTGGAATTCTTAATATAAAAAAATTCTGGCTTCCATATCTTTGGCAGGGATTCACTGCTTCTCTGGCAGTGCCTTTTCCTTACAATTCCTTTCCTTTTCATTCAATAAATTTTTGCTATTAGAAAAAAAAAACTTCTGAAAGTAAAATCATTTTCTCCTTTCAACTGCTTCCATGTCATGTTGTTTCCTGAAAACCCTCAAAGGATGGTGGAGTATGAGTAAAGTCAATAGTGATGACAAGTTGCATAGATTTTTCCCACAAATTTAGTTGTAAATTTTTGAGTCATGTGGGTTTTACAAAAATTGAGAAATTATGAAACTTTAGAAACCTATTGGAAATATTAAAATTAAACATTACATAAGCTATGTACTACTGAGTCTAGCACATATTTTACCTTTATAACTTGGAACTGAAGTAAAATGCTCTAAATGAATGACCCCAAAATGACTAATCTAGTTATTATGACATGCATTTCTATACAAAATAATGTCTTAAGAATGCTTATAATGTACAGGTCAAAAGAAAAAAGGGATTGAATTTAGGGAGAGATAATGCCTTAATTTAATGTCACAAATTATCTTGTCCTAAATTCAATGTCCTTTCGATCCTCCCATTGCTGTAGCATACCACAGTCAATATTACAACCACTGAAACTCAGGCACCTCTATCACAACCATCAAAACAAAGAACACCTGACTATTTGAACAGCAGGAAATGTGTCATGTGCTCCCCATGCAATACCACATGTAGGACCATGTAAAGAAGAGAACTGTGCACTGTAGATTAATCTCAATTGCTATTCTTTTCCCACTGATCACCTTTTCAGGATATATTTAGTAAAATATAACTAAGATAGTTATAAAGTTCCTTGGAAGAACTTGACATATTTCTGAGAGTAGAATTTTCTGAGAAACTAAGTCCATTATAATAGTTGCAAAAATAATGTAATTTCACTGTCCTTTCAAGGGAAGCTTATACAAAGCAAAATGTGATACTCCAGTGTAACCCTGACAGGAGAATATGCAATAAACATTACAGTTTTCAAACATCAGTCAAAAATGTAGTGTTCATTTCATCTACTTGTCTCTAGCATTTATCTACACTATTAGCAGGTCAACTGAATTCATAGATGCAGACACCTCACCTGTTTTCATTCCCCATAAAACACTCTCTCACTCTTGTCAGGAATATTCCTTTCACTCCTGCTTCACTTTAAAGCTTTGTTTTTATTTGAAAAAATGGTAAATGAACCAATGTGGGAATATTTGATTTCAGTTAAATTAGTTTCTGATGAAATTAAAAAATCAAGATAGCCTCTCTGAATACAAGGCTGGTTGGGCCAGCCTCTGTTAAACAAAGTAAATGGAAGCTAAATCATTCTTTGTATACTTACTTAATCTAGTTTCAGGCAGAATCATTTGAATTCAGTATTTTCATGAACATTCGTATTGAATTTAATCATATCACTCATTTTTGAGTTACTATAGGAAGTACTTGACATATACAATCAATTAAGCAAACAAGTAAACAACCAACCAACCAACAAGCCATTCTATATTGGAATGTCTGTTCTCCATTTCTTTTGTCTATTTGAAGCCATTAGTAACCTGGTTCTAGACATTCATTTCTATAGACCAAGTCTGATTACTTACATAAGTACAGACTTTTTAATAGTATTGTGTGGGACTTATTTATTTTGTTTTATTTATAATTCTCAGTCATAATAATTCACATCTGTAAAGCAAAGAGAAAATTTTCTAATTCAAAATTGTTTAGCTTCCTCCCCCCCACCTCTTAGTAAAATACTTATTTTCTCTTTTTTTTCCTTTTCAAGTTTTTATTTTAATGCATTTTTTGTATTAAAAAGAAAAGCATGATTACCACAAATTACAAAGGCTAAAGCAGGACTAGAATAATGAATGAATCACTTCAGCCTGAAAAGCAGAATGTTACTCTCAATAACATTTATGTTATAAAACCAGCTCCTTAAAGCATAAAACACTTATTTTCAAAAAGCTCCTCTCTCAAACAAATGGATAAACCTACGCTCTGGTTAAATTTTACAGAATCATTCCAATAGCAAAGGCAGCACACCCTTTTAGTTGTCTCTTAGTTGTTTATTTTCCTTTTTTATGTTCTTTTAGAAAAAAATTGGTTCACATGCTAAACTTCAACTTTTCAAAGTTTTTTGATTTTTTTTACTTATCCAAGTTAGACTGTTAGAATTGGTATCATATTTTATGAGTGAGTGAGCAAATAAGTCTAGGACAGTGAAGGGTCATGGATAGAGCATTCACTGTTTTTGCTATTCTCATCAGAAAAGAGCATTTTATAATGCAT